GTCCAATCAAGATCCAAATTTTTACCAATAAGAGTCTACCTGTGCACAATGTTTGTCAATTTCAAAGTATGTAGCAAGGGGTGTCAATATTTGACAGGACCCGAAAATATGACTGGAATCCGGCCCGAAAAATCCGGATTAGGGTCAACCCATTTGTTAAACAGATCAGATTTTGGTTCAATAAACTGACCCGTTTTAAAAATCGGGTTGAGCTCCGGTTGACCCAGAAATCCGAGAATGATGTGGAACTGATCTGACCAGTCGCTGTAAACAAAATCATATTTCGGAAATCCCGCAAACCGCACTGTCGTAGGCTAGCTCCGCATGAACCCGTCATCATCATACGCCTCTGCTGCGGCCTCACCGTCCGCTTGTCGCCTCTCCCAAGGCCTCATCCTCCGCCTCTCCACACGGCCCCGCCTTGCCCAATAACGTTCATCTACACAATCAACACCTCCTTTGACGATCGTCTGTGAGCTGCTGAGTGCTAACCCTCTGCCGACAACCAACGCCTACTTCAACGACATTCCTTTCAGTGAGACAATGACGGGTTGGCGGGTCATGTCGTGTTGACCCGGCGAAATGGATCGTGTTCGTGTCAAAGAAAATGTCCTTTTTTTTTTTTTTTTAAAGGTTCGGGTTCAGCTCGAGTCGGGTTAATATGTGTTGGTTCAGTTTCATGTTTGACCCGAACCTGACCCGTGATCCGATTTTGACAACCTAACATGTAGCAGCCACTTCTGATTTATAGGAACTTTAGATATGATTGTTATGCTCCTGAACATTGCATAAGTATTTTTTAGTTTCATCTCTATTGAGTGCGAGACTTTTTAGTGTAATATAGGAAGAAATTATCATTCTAAATGAACAAATTAGTGGATTATGGCTCGAAGAGGATATATTTATGTGAAAAAAATTGGAAGAAATAAAACTCAGATGGTCTGATCTATTGCAAGTAATTCTACTATATATGATGAAAGTTACTAAAGTTTGATCTTATAAATAAAAATTATTTTGCACATAAAAAAATTAAGAATGTTCCAATCAAAATTAGATATAGGATGAATTATTTTATTTATTGTATTATTTTACGATGAGTAATATATGAACAACCAATCAATTCTTATATATCATTTATTTCAAATAAATTTATAGAATAACAAACTCATCCTAACCTAATTTGAATTCTTACCCAAATATTTGTATTCCTGTTGTAGATGAAAAAATATACGCGGTAGTAGTGTAAAAAATATAGCGTCGTAATAATATACGTATATCTGGTACACAAACAGATAATTTAGAGAGAGAAACACCATAAACATTTTTACGTGGAAAACTCAAAAAGGGAAAAACCGCGAGGCCTGACCCAAATGAGAAATTTTCACAAAATATGGATGAATTACTAAGTTTGATTCACCTCTTCACTTGTAGACGATGTAATTACAACAAATTGAATAATTTGATAGAAATCTAGCAATGATTAATTTGGTGAGTGGACGGAAGTAAGGCAGTGGTTGAAAAGAATTTCAATGACGGTTGGGAAGAAACTCCGGCGGTGGTCAAGAAGAAACTCAGGTGACGGACGGAAAGAACTCTGGCGGCGGTCAGGAAGAACACTGGCGGCTATCAAGAAGAACACTGGCGGCAGTCGGGAAGAACTTTGATGGCGATTGGGAACAACTCCGGTGGTGGTCGGAAAAAACTCAGTCGGTGGATGAGAATAACTCTAACGGTGATCGAGAAAATCTCTGACGACAGTCGGGAAGAACTTTGGTGATGATCGGGAACAACTCCGGCGGGGGTCAAGAAGAACTCCAGAGGTGGTCGGTGGCAAGAGAGGTCTCGAATTCCCCCCGGAGAAGAGTGAGAGCTATTTAAAGTTTTTTTTAGAATGTCATGGCTTGTAAATATATAGATGATCAAGAAAAAATAGGAGTGGTTTGAATGGATGACTGATATTGATCATACTGATCAAGGACAGTTTAATGGTCATTTTAATGCCTTAATTATATCAGAATTCAGTGATCTTGGGCTCGTTGGATTCGTTTCATCGAGCCACTCGATTTGATCTTAAGCATGTCATCTTTAAAGCTGGTTTGGTAATCCAATTTGATCTTTGAAAAGTTCAAATATATTTTGGACACTTGATTTGGGCTCATTTGTGCTCGAATTAACCTGACTATTTTTGGTGTTGATGGGTTCACATTTCCGAGACATTCAGTTTGACTATAAGTTTGCTGAAATTAGAGTTTGGACGATCCCAAATTTAATCTTAGAAGCCTTCAACTCAATTTTGTTTTAAGATTCGTGCTGGATCAAGACTATTTTTGGTGATGTGTCAATTCTTACAATCTTCTCTTCCTAGTTTGTTTATATATTATTAGATTTTCAAATGTTTCCTAAAATTAAAGGCTCATTTGGGCTCGAACCTGGCTATTTTTGGTGTTGATGGGTTTGCCTTTCCGAGACATTCAGTTTGACTATAAGTTTGCTGAAATTAGAGTTTGGACGATCCCAAATTTAATCTTGGAAGCCTTCAACTCAATTTTGCTTCAAGATTTGTTTTGGATCAAGACTATTTTTGGTGATGTGTCAATTCTAACAATCTTCTCTTCCTCCTTTGTTTATATATTATATTAGATTTTCAAATGTTTCCTAAAAATAAAGCAAATAATCAAAAAATGATTCCAAATAAAATCTTAAATGTATAATATATAAACATGTTTCTTTATTATATATTTATATTTAAGTAAAGACTATGATTTCATTTGGGATAGTTTTATTATTGCTTTCTAAAACAGTTTTTCAATACAAAAATTTTTTGAACTAGAAATTTTGCATTAGAAAACTGTTTTAGAAAGCATAAAGTAATTTGTCTCAAATTAACATAATATTTCCTTTGTGTTAACTATTTTACCGCTTTGTTTTTTAGACCATAACCACATTTTATTTTTGACCTCAACTTTTTCATTATTATTATTTTTTTTATTAAGAAACTGTTTTTTACAACTTTAAAATATTACTTTCTCTGCAGCAGCTTTATAAAGCAGTAAAAAACCATCTCAAACAATGCCAAAGAGTTTTACTTGAAACATCTAAAACTTGATGGAAATCTTATCAATTATTTTTGGCAAAAATTAAAGTTAATGAGTCATATCTCTGATGTGCGGATCATGGGCGGCGTCCGGAGACCAACCAAAACGCTTCACGTCATTTTTTTCTATTTACCGAATGATGTGGGGCGTTATGATTGATCTCCGAACCGTTCGGCACAGAATAATTTCTCCAAATTAAGACTTAGAATTGCTCTTAATTCAAAATAAGATTGATTCGAAATTGATCTCAATTCAAAGCTAATGAGATGTGAACGCGAGAAGTCAGTCCATTTTCATTGGCTACGCGGCTACGCCAATCCTCGTCCAGACAAGTGTTGGTTGAAAACTACTCGTCAAGTCTGAGGATTAATGCCGTTCATTAGCTAGCAAATCAAGTTCAATAAACTGCGATCGGATCAAAACACCGAACTTTTCTTACCACTGATTTTAAGAAACGAAAATAAGGTGTGATATTCTAACATAAATCTTATTATGAAGAGATTGATTGCGATTGAATTTAGTTCAATATATGATATCAAAAAAGTATGCTAATTTCAGCTCAAAATGGATGGAATTCAAGTCGACGTCTTAAATTTGAGGGATTTACATACATAACATTCAAAATTATCCTATTTACAAACTTAAAAAAAAATTACCGCTTATTCACATAACGTATAATTATTTATGTTACATCAAACATATCATCTTCAAATCGATAGCCTCCCCCACCAAGATCTCATTGCAAATTCCTCTTTTCTTTGTAGTCTAGGGGTTTGTTATGAACTAAACATGTCGCTGATCTCATCTATGATTTTCCCAAGATCCTTCGACCACGAACATCCTCCTATAATTATTTAACCACCGTCATCAAATGACGGTCCTCTGATCTTTGTCGTCTAGATGCAATGTTGTCCGTTGACTTGATCACTCATCATTGATAATAATGTCAACGCATGTCTTCACTTATAATATTGAATCATGCTATCAACACTAACTCTAACTATTGATGTCAACACTATGATTTATAATACACTTTTGATCTCTCTCGTCAAAGAAGTATCATCAAATAAATAAACAGATGATTTCTTAATGACAACTCGCATGCTGTTAGGCTCTTCCAAATTCCACCACATAATATGTTCTGCATGTTATATGTTTACTATATATAATGTCTTCCTATTAATAAGATCAATATTTATAACCAGTGATAAACAATAGTTGACTCATTCAACTGAATCAGATCCCTTGATTTTTCCCTTTTCTAGATTTGTCAGATAAAAAATCTTATCTTTTATAATTTCTCTTTTATGTCCATGACTTGGACCAATTCAAGCTCGGATTGGGGTCGAATTTAGTGTCTTTGGTTTCGTCTTTTCAAGACGTTTAGTTCGACTAGAAGTTTGCCAAAATTAGAGTACAGATAGCCTAGAATTTAATTTTGAAATTTTTCAATACAAATTTGTTTTGAGATTCCTGCTCGATTAAGAAATTTTTTTTGATGATATATCAATCTTTGATAGTTAGATATAATTAGGATAGACTAATAATATCATAACAGAGGTGACGAAAACAAAGTCAACCCTAGTATTTCTGTTTTAATATAGTTTATGGTTTTATCGTTAACTCAAAGCAGGGTCGTGCTCTTTAGGATTAATGCCTTTAATTAGTTTCATGAGATGATTGTTAGAAATTGGGAAAGACAGCAAGGACATGCAGCAATTAGCGAAACAGCTTAGAATCTCATTGAGCGGTTATTCTTACGGGAGGTGCCCATATTCCCCCTATTACCTCAGGCTTAACTATGCTTTTTCCTTAAGTATGACGGCACTTTCGGGACTTTCGCGGAACATCGTTGGCAGTTTCTATTTGCGGATTTGGATATCAGTATAAAACCAGATCCGAAAGCGAGCACTAGTGCGGCTCTCCTCTGATTTATTTCCTCTCTCCCAGAAGGAAGAGGACGATAAGAAGAGCGAGAGCGCGCGCTCTCGAGAGCGAGCGAGGGGAGATTAGGGCGCGATGGAGGAGGAGAAGGGATTGAAGCTTTTTGGAGTAAGGATCGTGGATGGAGAGAGGTGGAAGGGGGAGCAAGAGATGGAGACGAGGGATTTGAAGAGGGAAGCGATGGAACAGACGATGACGAAAGGTATGTTGAAGAGCAAGAGCATGATGAATTTGGGGGCGTGCGGCTCGAACTCATCGGGGTATCATGGAGCCGGCGATGACGGGTTTCTATCAGATGGTGGGTTGTCGAAGTCATCGAGAAGGAGAGAAGGGCAGGAAAGGAAGCGAGGTAATTGGCCGATTTAAACCATCTTGTCATTCGCTCATTCGTCTACTTTTGCATTTTTGTTAGGATTTGGTTTATCGGTTTATTTATTAGGGTTGCTGTTTGAAAATGCTTTTTAATTTTTACTGCTATAATTAGTTTATTTTTTCACCCTTTTTGTGCATCAGATTATGGCTTTTGATGTTTGACTAGAATTGAGTGGGCAAATTTGTTGAAGCTTTAAAGATTTTGATTCTTTTATGATTGGTTCATCGGTTGGATTGAAAGATGGTGTGTTCAATACGTGATAGTACTTGTGAATGTTTTCTGGAGTCAATTTAATTGCTGGAATTACTATTTGCGTTTTTTAATCTTTTCCGGAAAAAGATGGTGCCAATGTTTTTTGCAATATATCATATTTCACAATTTTCATCTGATATTTTTTTCTTGGATTTCATTTTTTGGAGCTTTGGGTTGTGTCGATATGCCAAAATAAAATTTGTTCTCTTAAGTTGTATTTTTTTGTTCTTCTCCCTTTTCCAATGCCGTAGCCTTCCAGAATGCTTATGTTTATCAAATTATTGTGTTCATTCCATCTTCAGACCTAATTAAAATATTAAAAAAAAATCTTAATTTTTTTTTTTAAGTCCCTCTTGACAACACAAGGATGGGCAAATCTTTTTGTTGATAATGTTTGTATGTTGAGATTTTTTTCACGATAAAGGATTCTTATAGGTTCCCCATTTGGGAAAATTTATCCACTCAATAAAATTTTCATCAGCTTGTAACCGAAGATTATCCCTGGTAACGATTAATATGGTTCTGTAATTGGCAAGGCAATATTTTTAATAGTTTTTTTGTGTTTTTTTTTTTTCCCTCTCAACTTTTGATCATTTTCATATCAAAAAATTTTTTTGGGAAATCATTTTCATAACTCAACAATAAAAAATATGGTGTCATCATTTCCTCTATTTTCTATGGGACTGGTATTTTCATTCCGATCTACAAATGGGTGACATCTCGGTGGAATGATTTTCCTGGCAAAAAGTGGTTAGTGTTATGAGTTTGTCATGATCCTTTTCTAAGCATACAACAATAATGGCAGAAGATGCAAGAGTTTCCTTATTTTTTAACATAGATAGGATCACTTTTTTTTTTCTATCGGATGTTCTTTAAAGGGCATATCCAATGCATACCCTCCATTGTAGGGTTGATAATGGTTTATGAACCCATCATTATTGTACAACCATATTTGCCTAGATCAGGTCAATGAAGTATTTAAGGGAGACTAAACGGGTTTCAACAAATCGAAGATTGTGAACCGACTTAAACCACTTGCAATTTATGGCTCACCAGCGTTTTAAATCATCTAAAGCCTCAAATCACCGAAGACCATATATTGTCAAGCATCCCAATGGCCCTAGGGACTTGATCGGCTCTCGATGTTGAGCTTATGATGTTGTCCAATCGAGGACTCATAAAGTCACCTATTCGCCAAGGCTATTCACCATCTGACTAGGGGTTTATCATTAGAAGAACTTGCCAAAGATACTCACCATCAATCTAAAATTCATCCAAATATTCTAACTAACAATTGGATAGAAATCAAAGTATTTTTATGTAATGTACTTTTTGTTGCAATTCAATCTCATTGTTCTCTCTTAGATTTTCCTCAAAATCTCTTTCTCACTCTTTGAATCATCTATGTAACTCAATTTGTCTCCCTTTTTTTCTAAGGGGTTCAATCGGATCTTTTGTAAGACTAATTGAACTAAAGAGAATTACTTCGACTCAATCTTCTACCTCTTCCCTTGTACTCTTCAGACTTAACCTCTATCCCTAGTAGAGTCTTGATATCTCTCCACCACAACTTTGAATCTAAAATTTATTCTCATTGCGTTGCAGAAAGGCTAATTCTATGATTATGTTAATGATCTCTAAGTCTTACTGATGGGAAAACCATTGCTCTTAACCCATCCTGCCTTTTAATTATTTTAATTTTACCCATGCATTTTTCCTGTGCTTCTGAAAGACTGAAAGTGATATGTATTTTTGTTATTTAGGAGTGCCATGGACTGAAGAAGAGCATCGAACATTTTTAGCTGGACTGGAAAAGCTTGGGAGGGGCGACTGGAGGGGCATCTCAAGAAACTTTGTGATCACCCGAACTCCAACCCAGGTAGCCAGCCACGCCCAGAAATATTTCCTCAGGCAGAGTAATCCCAACAAAAAGAAACGGAGATCCAGCCTCTTTGATGTGGTTATCAGCAACAATGTATATGAAAATTAATCTTCTGATTTCCTCATGGAAGCTTGCCACTTCTGCTTTTCTTTATTCTTCCTCCCTCATCATTACTCTATTCTTTATAGGCCAAAAACCCACAGACTACCCCAATTCCACCATTACCATCGAAGAAATCTGATGGAACTTTCGAAGATGCCGATCATCTCAGCCAAAACCACCATTCAGTAAATCTCGACATTCAATTATAAATTGAGTTTTAATCCTCCATGGATTCATTCAGATAGCATATTTGTTGAATTTACATAGTAAACAAGCCTAAAATCTGAACAAAATTACTGCAGTCTGGATCCCCATCCTTCACTATATTCCAAACGGTATCTCTCGGTGCAGAAAATTGCAGCAGCAGCAGCCCAAATCTCCATAAAACTATTCCAACGGTAATTATCAGCAACAATCTTTCTTTCATTTTAACCACACACTTAGACTTCGTTTGGGACAGCTTTCTCATTGCTTTCTAAAACAGCTTTTTTATTCAAGAAATTTTTACGTTTTGAACTTACGTGTTTGCGTTTGAAACAGGATGTGGGCCACCCCACCTTTACCTTCATTTCAACAATTGTTACTCAGGATCAACCACAACCTGCCAGTTTACTCAAACTATCTGCATCTTCAGCCACACCTCAAACTTTGGTTAATCCTGCAACAACGAGTACTGCCACTAATGATTTGGAGCTCAGTATAGCGCCGCCTCAATCTCAAAGCAACTTATCAACATTGTCTCCAGGCACCATTCGAGTGGTCTAATTGTTTTCTATTCTTTCATCTGAGAGACAAAGCTTGGAATTTTTTTTTTTTTTTTTTTTTGGTAAATGCGGGTAATGTTTAATTCCTGCAAACTATATATTTCATAAGCTAATGGTATGTTCTTTATCTTGTGGGGCTAAGGAATTAGAGGTGTTGCTATGGCATTTTAAGAAATCTATAGCTGGGTGGAGAGGTGTCAACTTAAACTATTGTTTATAAAAATTTTTCCGTAATATGGTATAAGAAAAATGAGTTTATGAACATTCAGTGGATGTTGGATAATGTGCAGATTGAAATAGGAAGATGTATGGGCAAGAGAGAGCATTGAAGATTCTTACAGATTCTCTTTCTTTGCTTTCTCTTTCAATTGTATGCGGAAAAATGATTTCGATTTTCCATTCATGCATCATTTATTTACTTATTTGAAGGTCTTTATAGGCACGCAATCATGATTTTGAAAATCGGATCCGACTAACAGGTCCCACCAATTCAATCGTAAATAAATACTATGTCTAATTTTGATAATTTGATTGATAATGCAAATGAAATTAATGAGTGAATGTTATATCTAATGAGGCCAAATAGGGCCACTGATATGTAAGTTTTTATTCAATTACATTATGAGTGCTACTTTGCTTTTGCAGCTATAGGGAGAGGATTCATTGTCCTCTCACAGTAACTTTGTTGTTGTCTTTTGTTAGCATCTTCTATCATTATTTGTATATGCTCAAATCATTTAAGTTTATTTTGAATTATATTATAATGTTATTTTCACAATATATTTAACAAAATCACATCAATTAATTAATTATATATATAATAATTTTTTTATAAATATGTGTGATGCACTTTAATTTAATTCAGAAATATTATTTTTTACTCTCGATTTAAAATATTTAAATCTATCAACCTCGAAAAAAGACAATCGAGCTGACTAATAATTTGTATTTATTTAGGATAGAAATGAGTAAATAAATAATTAAATTTATAGCACTATAAATTTACAAGTAATAATTTTTTAATCATATAAGATAAGAGGTAATAATAATATAAGCAATGTATTACTCTTTTTTAGTGTTATTAGGCACAAATTTTGATTCAAAATTCAACACACTTTCTTTAAAAAATATCAACAATGTTGATTATATTTTCACAATTAAACTGCAAATCAATTAAAATATAATGACTATGTTAGTTAATAGAAAAAATATTCTATGATGCACCAAAAATAACTCAAAAGAAATATCTTACTTTAGTTGATGAATATTATGTCATTCATCAAATAACTTAGCATTTTTTTTTTACTATGAGCTAAATAATATAGCATTTTCTATCAACAAACTTTGAAAATACTTCTTCTATCACTCAAATCAATCAATGATTAATAATATTTGTAGGGGCGGATCCCACCTTTTTTTCAGGGTGGGCAAACTCAATACATTTGTCTGGGTGTGTCAGCTTGTCTACTGTTGGGTACGTGAAGAGGTGGGCGTCAAAGACTCAAGCGGGAGTTGGGCAAATGCTTTAGATTAGGGCAAAATAAATAAATTTAGGGGGGCAAAAGGTTGAAACTACGTACCCCTCCCTTTATTCATTTCTATAGTTTGAGGGTGGGCAATTGCCCACCTTGGAGTCTAGTGAATCCGCCCATGAATATCCCCAATTCCCCTACAACTTCTAAAATACATTGAATAAGTGTGAAAATTTCCATTAAAATAAAATAGTTATACCATCTCTAACTACATCGCTTTCAATTTAATCATTCACGCATAATAAATTTAACTAAAATCCATCGTACAATGGATAAAAATAAAAGCTATTGCTTGTTGCTTTCAATATACTCAATATTAATATAGTTGAAAGGTATACAATTATTTTCTATAAATAAAGGATTTATTGGAAGTAAGATATATTTTGTATAATAATCATAACTATACCCAGAAATAATTAAGCAAAAAGAAAACAAAATAAACATTTTGATTTCATTTGGGATTTTTTTTATTATTTTTAAAATAAATTTTCAGTTAAAAAAATTAAATTAAAAAATAGATTATTTAGAAAATAAATAAATAAAAACTGTACTGTGTAGCTCCAGCGCTTTGAAATAATCAGTTGACGACGTCAGGCTTTGACTTTTCCACTCACTGAAGAAAAAAATAATTCTCCCAAAAAAAAGAAAAAAATAATTTGTTTAATGAGCACTGCGATACGCTATAATTGGCCGGATAGTAGAATATGAAGCCACATAACTCCACGTGCCTAAGTGTTATGTACACATCGGTATAGGCTTGGAGGAAAGGATTAATAACATTATTTAATTAGCTAATACGTCATAGGTCATTTGGCGATAATCTTGTTGTTTTAAATTGGTTTATATAAATAAATAGAAAAAAAATAGAGAAAATAGTCTTCATGGATATTTTTTTATAAGAAATTAAGAATAGAAAAAAAATACATAGTCAAAATTATATAAAAATGAAAACATTAATGATTAGTTTTTGAGTATATATATATATATGCTTTTAAAATTTGATTGGATTGATAAATATAATGACTTAGTTTTTCTCTTAAAATATTTGGATAACAATTATCTATTGAATTAATATTATCCATTTTATTAAAGATTATAAGTTTAGGGGTTTTTTTGTGATGACTGGCTTACTGTTTTGCTTTTCAGATTTTAACTACAATTTTATTTGGCTATTGCTTTCTTGTTGCTTTTCCACTGCTTTCTAAAATTTATGTTTGTGAAGTTACTTTTAACAACTAATGTTGATAATTTGAAGTAGCTATAGGCTTTATTTGGGATGATATTTCTTAGTGCTTTGTAAAATTATTGTATATAAAGTAATTTTTTTAGGTTATTGTAGAAAACAACTTCTTAGAACTTTTTTTAATTTTTTGAAAATAAAGAAAAAATAGTACTCAGACATGTAAGAGAAGCAAAGCAATAAGAAAGCTGTCCCAAACAAAACTTTAAGAAAACAACAATTCAATTTTTTTTAAATAAAATATATTTTTATTATATTCACATCAAATTAAAAATATATATATTTTTATCATAACAATCTTACAACCAACTTTATAAAATATATTAGCCGTCCAAACAGTCTCTTAGTAAAAAGAATAAGAAAACTCTTTTTAATTTTATTTTAGAGCTATGTTTAGAATACTTCTATATGATACCATCAATGCAATATATAGAGAGAGAAAGAGAAAGAGTTGGCAAATCCAAGTTGACTTTAAAATAATAATAATAATAATAATAATAATAAATCATTATAATGTGTCAAATGACTGAATTTGAAATTATTAAATCGCATATATCCAAATACTTCACATACGATAGTGATTTATGAGATAATAATAATTAAATAAGAATTAGGATGGGAGCACGATAAAATAATATGGAGCAAGAGAACAAGATAATTGGTTCCATATTCCTGCCGCTTTCACAAGACAATAAAAACAACTATTTTTATCACCACCCACCCGGCCACAAGCCCTCTCTCTCTCTCTCTCTCTCTCTCTCTCTCTCTCTCTCTCTTGACTGATCGGTATCATGAATCTCGCACCTTGGAAACTGCCGCCCTTCGATCTGAAGTTCTGAACTCTTCTACTTAGCTTGTCGTGGCTTCCTTGGAGATGCATGCATCCGTTTCTCTGATTAGACTGCACGCGCTATCCTTACACGTGTGAACTGCTGAGCTAGAAGGCAGAACCCTGCATTGGGTACCCATACCCACACCCACCCATGTACCCACTCATACCCAACGGGTATGGGTACGCCCATAACCTCGTGGGTGGGTATGGGTGGGTACTCAACATCAGAGGAGAACCGATTTACATTACTAATCATCATATACATGCAGTATATTATATATAATAATCCTTACTATGTAGTGCGGGTGCAACACCAAACCACGTCACGACCAAGATAAATTTTGATATGTGGCTTGAAAGTTTGTATTCAGAGAAAAAGGCAAAAAACCCCAAGGCTATTATGCTATGACAGACTGCATTCAATAAGCGAGGAAAGTGGGTGGGTGTGGATGGGTATGACATCCGGAAAGTCATCATAGGTGGGTGTGGGTGGGCAAAGCCCGCCACCACTGAGCGTGGATATCCAATGGGTACCCAACGAGGACTCCATGTAGGGCTCTGCTAGAAGGAGAGAATTCGGAGAGCAGAAAAAAAAAATAAAAATAAAAATAAAAAAGGGAGAACTAGGAGAGCAAGCAACCAGTGTCATGAGGCGTCCGGAGGTCAATCCAGACAAGTCGCATCACCCATTGAACATTGCATTGGATGATGTGGCGCATCCGAATTTACCTCTAGACGCATTCGGACTCGGGCAGAATAATCTCTAGTGTCAAAGAGGTTTGAGGAGTTGGGAAATTATTTGAGATTTTGTTTACTTTATAATTGATGCTTATGCTGATTTTAATTGTTTGAGAGATGCATATAGAATAGATTTTTTTTTTTTTTTTGGATATTTATGTCATTAATGTAAGGCAAATTCACACACACAACACATACACAAAGACTCGAACCCAAGACCTCTTAGTTTGAAGCATAAGCTCTCAACCAACAGGCCAAGGTGAGCAGTGTGATTAGATTAGATAGTAATTAACTTTGAGATTATCTGAATTATTTACTAAATTTCCATTTAATGCTTTTAAAAGAGCAAATTATCACCTGATCATCTATTGTTAATCCAAAAGTCTTCTTGGGCTTGTAGATCTAATGAATTTGGACTGGCTGGTTGGAACAGACCAGCTTTGAACTGATCCGTCTAGCGGTTTAGGTGAGTCAAATTGACTCGTGAGTTTTTATAGGCTTGGGTCAATAAATGACTTGTGAATTAACTTTGAACTTGGAATCGGAGGTAAGCTCTATGTAATCGTGAATTAACTTTGATCTTTCGAATCATCTGAATTTAATAACTTGCCATTGAAGTTCGGCTTAATTTGGTTTCTAAGAAATTTCTTCTACTCAAATGGCTCGGATCAACTCAAGCAAGAAGAGAATTTTCTGAGGGATCATATAACTGCCAACCACATCATTATAAATAACTACCAACATGCATGCCAACCTTTTATTTGCTTTCAACTTAATACAACCATGCATGATCAAACATATGGACGGAACCTAATTAGGTCTGTTGGTTGATAGTTTTAGCTACTAATTAAGAAGTCTTGGGTTTGAATTTAGAGGTGCAAACAAGTCGAGTCAAACTCGAGCCAAGGGGTGTTTGAGTCGAGCTTGTATGCCAAATACTATGATGGAGCTTGACTAGTCTCATGTCGAGCTCTGTCCCGAGTAGTCTCTATGTTACGTCCGCTGTCGTCATGAGGTCCGTCGTCGTCGTGTCCTCTTGTCTTCGCGTCCGCCGTCGAGATCGGTCGTCCTGAGGCTCTGCGCCGAGATCCATCATCCTGAGCTCATCGTCACGTCCGCCATCGAGATTCTTCGTCCCGAGCTCGTTCGTCATCGTCCCGTGCTCCGTCGATTTGTTTTTCTCACCCAACCTTTGAATCGTCGTTTCCGCCCGTTCGATTAAAATTTCCTTTTCCAACCCAGTCACATCCACGAGCCGCTCGATGAACTGACATCTATTCAAGCTCGAGCTCGATAAGATGTCGAGCTCGAAATCGCGTTCGAGCTCGACTCGCCGAGCCTGTTACCGAGTCGAGCTCAAATCAGCTTGCGAGCCTACTTGACTCGATTGCACCCCTAATTTGAATGTTGCATATATGACGTGTGCATGAATTTGTCTTAATTGACCTAAATATTCAAAAAAAAAAAAAAAAATCAGACATATAGCACTAACTTTCTGTTTTTAACTACTACCCATCTCCGGGAGAACCAAGTCATTGCAACAATCCATCCAAAGAATTTTCGAAGACCTATTATTACTCTTAAACATTCAAATTAAGTGAAAGAATCAATGATCAAAGAGACTGAGAATATTATTTTTCTATGGATAAGAATTCAAGCGACAAAGCTTAAAATCTATTATGCATCATCGCAGCAAAAACAAAATGTAATAAACAGCAAAAGAGCTCATCTTTGCACTGCCCACAAGTAAACTATTTTAAATATCTAGTGTATTCTATTTCTCTCTATATAACTCCAACAGTGTTTCTCTATCTTGTCAAGTTGCCATATTGAGTATCTCAATTAGTAGATTTTTCTCATCCCTTTATCTTAACCTTCCACTAGGTAAAATTATTGACTGCGGATACTGATGATGTTCTGAGACGAATCAGAACGCACCACATCACTCCTTTATTGTATACCCGCAATGTACCAGGTGACATGGCACATTCTAATTCGAACTTTTATTAGGTCCGGTGTAAGGACGTAGAGGAACGTCCGGTCGGAAGCAAAATCCCGCCAAAAAACTCTGTATTTGCTCGATATTACTAGGTATGTGAAGATCAATACCGAGTTATACCGTGTTGTACGTGTTTTTTCTAGGAAAAACTCGGTACAACTTTTGTATAACTCGGTATTGCTCGGTATAACTCGGTATTGGGTCTTCACGTGATGGTATTCCTCATTATTGTTTGGTATTGCTCGGTATTTGCTCGGTATTTCTCGTTTTTTGGCTCGATTTGGCCTCCGACCGGACGTTCCTCTACGTCCGATCAGAGGACGTAATAATTGTTCATTCTGATTCGCCTCCAAACGATATGGTCCGCACACAATAATTTCTCCTCGAATAGACACTCAAGTAGTTGAATCAAATAATTGTTTGGTGGCACAAAACTTTAGCAATATTTTAATTAGAAACTTCTAGAATTAAACTAATGACCATCATAACTTCGATTTCAATAAATTATAGTCAAATTGAACGTGTTGACCAAATGAATATATTTTATAACCCTATAACAAGATTTTAATTGTTCTCATGTAAACACCTAATTTTTTTTTTTTAAAAAAAAAAGTAAACACTGATTTCTATAATCTCTACAACAAGAATCAAATAATTGTAATCCATAATATTTGCTTGCCGAGCTTTTTTTCCTGCTCTTCTCCATAAATATATCGTACATAGTAAAAGAACGTTTGCACAATTTATTATTTTTAAAAAAATATTGAATAAATTGTTATAATTCATTAATTTGGCCTACCTTTGGAATTTGTTCTATGATTTGCCACTCAATTATATAAGATAATTATAAATTAAACTATTTATTAGCTAATTAGTAACGATTACTTCTTAGTGCCTTATTTTAAGGAAACATTATTAGCATATAATCAGTGACGAGCTACACTGTATTCTTACTTGAAGAGCGGAGAACGATACAGACTTCATTTACTTAAAGTCTACAATGTTTTTCGTGAACTTGATAACAGTAAATGGTCTGCTGTTCTAAACAGAAGACCATTATTCACAGTACACAAAACACTAAATAATTGGAAAAATTATTCTTTGCTGACACGGAAAGTCATTCGAAGGCAAATAAAAATGCACCGCATCAATTTTTTATTGTACCGCGACTCGGTACTACTCAGTACCACGACTCGATACCGCTCAATACAGAAACTTCTTGACGTAGAACTGCGTCCGACATCCGCACAGAATAATTTCTCAAAATAATTGACAAGTGCCAATAGATGTAACCTTAACAATCAGTTAAATATAATAACTTATGGATTAGACTGGTAGTTAGATCACGATTATATTGTTTTAACAGAACCACACAACACCACACCAATTTAAACATGAACAAAACATTAATGAGTCAAATTTGAATCAATCCTAACTTGGACTTCATTTGAGACGACTTTCTTACTAGAAGTAATTTTCTAGTACAAAAGTTAATTTTTTTGTATTAGAAAACTGTTTCAAAAAGCAATAAGAAACGAAGTCTTAAACTTGAGCTTAATTAATTAATCAAGCTTTGAGTAACCTCACAAGTCAATTAAAAAAATATTTTATATAAAAACTAAGATATAATTTTAAAATGCTTTTTATAACTATAGACTTAGAATTCCTGAAGTCTAATATAATTTAAATATATTTTATATTAATATTTTTTAATCATACTAACTTACAAGCTAACAAGTCAAATCAATACTGACTCAAACTTGGAACTCATTGAGCTCAACTCATAAGCCATTTATTGAGCTTCGAGACTGCTCACGAGTCCGCTTTACTCATTCAGACCTCTCTAAGGGGCTGTTTGGCAACAAGTGGGATTTAATAAATCCTTTAAATCCGGATTTAGTAAATCCGAAATGTGTTAAATCCTAAAAACTGTTTGGTATGTCAAATGTTAAATCCTGTTAAATCTTGAGAAACTGTTTGGTAACATATTTCAGGATTTATAGCAGTTAGGGATTTAAATGTGAAAAATATAATTATAACTTAAAAATAAATTTATAATTAAAAATAAAAAATATAATGTGTTAT